GTATGAAATATGAGTGCTGGGATGGGATGAGCAAGGTCAAGGACATTGTAGACCTTGACCTTGAGGGAGGACATGGAACCTCATCTTGAGGCCAATGGGAAGCCATTGAAGGTATAAACAGGGAGGTGATAAGATCACGATTACATTTTTGAAAGATCACTCTGGTGGCAGCTAGAGATAGGACTGGAGGGGCACCAGACTGGGCAGGGATCCGCTTACCATGGTAAAATCCCCCAGGGAGACTGTGAATCCTTCGATGTCCCCAACGGGACTTTCCAGTAGCCTCTTTTCATCCCAGAGCATCTGTTGGTAAATTGTCTCTGTGTAATTCTCTCTGTGTATCAGGAAAACATAGTTGTCCTACCTTGATAGAAAAATGATTGATTTAGGGTGGAACCTCTATGTCTGCCCGACACATAGTGACTCTGTGTGTTTGCATATGCGTGCACGCGCGAGGGTGCGTTTGCACACAGAAGGAGAGAGGATGCCTTGATGTTTCTTTTGTTTTCCTTCCTGGCTGGCCCCACCAGTGCCTGGGTGATTGAGGGCCTAGAGCACGAACACCTCCTCACCCACGCTCAAGGCATCTCTGGTAATGGCATCTGGCCCGTATGCAGATCGAGCTCCACTCGGTGCTGACATCAGCCGGTTTGTGGCACCTCAGCGTATTTCTGGGTTGCAAATGAGAGTTTCTTAGTGCCAGGCTCGCTTGGGCTGTCACATCAGGTGATGAATTCTCTGCATCAATGGCGTGCTGCTAAGGTGAGCACAGAGCAAGAGTGGGAAGGAGAGGAGATGGGACAGGCCATCCTCTGCGTCCCAGCCACTGCTCTGGGCTGCAAGCAGTGCTGGATCCAAAACAGTGAGGGAGGGGCCGCTTCATGGGCCCTTCTTCTGGTTCCAGGAGGGTGGCAGAGAAGAGAGAAGTCAGGGCTTCAGCTGTGATTCTGTGCCCTGTGTTTCATCAGGAAAAACCACATGGATTGTCCTTTCCACCACGGCCCCATCATCCTTGCCTCCCTCTACCTCCTCAGGCAGGCCTGCCTCGCCTTATCTTTGAGATGGAGTTCTAGCCAAACGTAGTATATATCAAATTATGTGCCAAATTCAGTAAGGCACAGGCTATACAGTATGTAGTTGCTTTTTTGTTCCTGAAACACTTTGCTCCCAAATATCTTCAATTTGTGTTTTGAAAATCTAGATTTTCTTATCATGGAAACCTGCTTGCATTTTGTCCTGATTTCCTATTCTGTTAACTTCTCCCTTCCGGGCTGAGCCTTCTCTCCTGGCTTAGGCTCCATCTGATGGAATTAAAGCTTACGTTGGGTTTTGCTTCCCAGAACACACAGAATTATCTTTATCACCCGGTGCAAGTGTAGATTCCCTTCTATTAGTATTGTTTTCAGAGATAAAAAGGGCGCATTTGGCTTTGCAGATTTTACCTCCCACCCCTGTAACCCTTTAGGGTGGTCCCTGTCTGTCATTAGCATTTTGAAGATTGCGTCCATCGTAAAGGAAAGTTTGCATCAGAGAGTGGAGGGCAAGGTTGGGGTGCAGAAGAAAAATAAAAATGAAATTCTTATTTCCCACTACCCCCACAGGGTCGTTAATGAGAGCAACCTCTACTCTCCGGGAGCCCAGAGATAAACAAACACACAAAGGCGGAGTTTCCTACTTAATATTCACCCGCAGTGGCGGAAGAGGGAAGGAATTGCTCCCCAGGGTTAGCGTGGCAGTAAGCGAGGTCAGCTGTTTCCCAAGAAGGTGCAGCCTCCCAACGCCTTGCATTAAAGCTGGAACGGTGCTGCTGAAGCAGCCTCCGTGATTTACGGGTCCCGGTTAAGTTGGGTTTGCACGCAGTTTCTGATGCTGCAGGGCTTTTATCAGCAACGGAAGCAGATAATATGCCATTGTGAAAAGCACCTCTAGAGGCAAGGGTTCTGCCACGTTTCTCAGGGTTAGACACGCTTATTCTAAAAAGTATTTGGACTGCCACTGGCTACAGTGCCCTAAATTTGGCAGGGAGTAGGGGGTCCTCTTCGGCATATCCTGAAAGTAGGATGACCAACAGAGCCCTTTTCCCCAGGCCTCATGGGTCTACTGGGATAGAGGACTTTTCAGTGCGGGCGTGGGAGAGTCCCGGGCAATCTGGGATGGTTGGTCGCCAAATCGCGTGCATGTTTATGGATGGAAGGGGAGTGGGAGAAAAAGGAGCTAAAGAGATTTGTTTAATGTGTTTATTTTTAATAGAAGATTTTGCATTTTGTTCTTCACCAGACCAACTGGCATGATTAAAATGCTGGTTCTGATATCAGCTTGACCCAATTCCTGTCTCTCACATCAGTGAATTCTCTGTACTCACCGGCATCTTATGCACTGGTCTGAGAAAACAGAACTTTAAGAAAAGAGATCAAATGTCTACTGTTTGAGTTATTTCAGATCAGAGACGGCTCAAAAAGAAGTCTCCCAGAACCTCTGGACGATACAGAATGCCTAGCCAATTTCTTCTTAACGAAACACCACAGAACTAATTTTCTTTACTAATGGCTTCATTTCTGGTACCACTTATTATCTTAATGCAGTTATGGCATGGCTGAATAATAGTAATAGTGGTTTTGCAAGCAATTAATAAAAGGGCTTTGTTCCACGTGCTGTGATGTGGATACCAACTGTTTTCATAGAGCTTCCTTATCTGCTTGTCCCGTGCCAAGTTGATTCTAAGATAGGTGGCTTTTTTCTTTCTTACCAGCATTTTACTCTGCTTCATGACATTGTACTTGAAGAACTTCTGTCAAGTTTCCTTGAAATTCTGTACTGCTCAGCCAGCACCCACCTTCCACCTCCATACGTACACACCTGCCTAGTTATCTATCTATCTAAATACCTATCAGGTAAACATATGCATATAAATATGATTAGAATAGACAGATATCCAAATGCTAACAGTAATTATCTCTGATAGGATTGTGGGTGTTGTATATTTTGTTTTTTATCCTTTTCTATTTTCCAAAGATTATAAGCATTCTTTACTTTTATAATAAAAAAGATATATGGCATTACAGGATTTTCTTTGGGGGGGGGGGAATAAACATAACTGCCATTCTTAGTCAGCCCAAAATAGCACCAGAATATATATTCTTGGTTGGGAAGAGAGGCTACAATATCATCACCCCCGTGACATTCTTGCATGACGAATTTGAATTAATTCTGTTCTTGATTCTGATTATACTACAGCGTCTTGGCCCCAAAAAGATGGAAAAGCCTTCTGTTATGAAAGAATGAATTCTCATTTGCTCCTCATTGTTCTGCATCTAATCTTTCTATCACAAACAATAGGGGAAAATGTCTTCCAGCAGGGAAGAAGAGTGGGAGTGCCTACCTGACTGGGTTAGGAGGTGGGAGGTTGGAACTTGAGAGCAGTTGTTCACTGACCCGTGATCGAGGAGGTGTGTTCTTGGCATTGCCCGGGATGCCCTCCTGGTGACCCGATCTGCTCTTCAGTGAGTTGTGGACAAAATCTACCCTTATGCTCAAGTGACTGCTAGGAGCTGCTTTGAATTAAAAGCCTGGCTTTCCTGGGAAAATTGGAGCATTGTTTGGGTGAGCCAGTGAAAAAGAGAGCCAAGTAGATGAAAAGGGCGGACAAAAGGGGGCCTGATTCTGAAGTTCAGAGGCCTGTGTTCTGTCTCGGTCATGAACCAGGACACTTTTCTCCTACACCTCTGCGCTGGTATGAATGAAATGTAAACAGACATTTGCTAGCACCTGTTCAGTGCTGGGCACTCTCCTAAATTCTATAGATTATGCAAGGGTTGATGCAAATGGCAGTAATAGTACTTGCCCTGTCTACCCTAAAGTTTTCAGAGGATAAAATGAGAGGCAAGTGTACAGTAGCAGACATTTTACCAGGAACATCTAAGACCTGGTGTATTCAACATGAACATTTCCAGAGTTGAGGTTTATTAACTCCAAAGGAACACAGTGATTGGGGGCGGAAAGGGCATTTTAGCCCACATATATTTTAATGCTATAGAACATACAAACAGTCATGAATTATGCATCATGAATTAACCACTATAGCAAATCATTCTCAAGCTATTTTAGTGCCGGGATATTTTTTAAAGGGTGGTCGATAAACAAATCTTTTTAGAACAGTTTCATTGTTTGGGTGCTCCTGGGTCTAGAGTCTTAGAAAAATAGTCTCCAAATGTAGCTCACTCTACAGCTTCCCATTTCACTGCCTTTCTAGATGTATTTACGCAGGCCAGTCCTTATGGTCTTAGCACCGTTGTTTAATCTGTTATATTCACCTGAAACAACCTCTGTGCTTTTCAGAGCTCACCTTAAAGAGCACCTCCTACATGAAGTATTTCCTGATGCCCCAGCGAGATGCAGTGTTGCCTTCATTTGAAACTTCATAACGACGGGGCTCTACCATTTATTAGGTTCTGCCGTTGAGTTACATAGTTCATTCCTGGGCTTGTCTTCTCTCCCCCTTTGAGGACATGGACCATATCTCGCTCATGATTATATACTCACTAGTATACCGCCTTGTATAGAGCAGATACCTGGATTCTCATAAACCTACGGAGCATCCAGAATTGGAAAGAACCTTAGAAAGCATTTGAGCCAAACTTCTTATTTTTCAAAAGGGGAGAGCAAGGTCAAAAAAGGTGAAGGTGCTTCACTATCGATGACAACAGCTAGTTGTTATCAGGGTCAGAACCAAAACCTTGGGTCTCTTGACCTGCAGGGCGGCTGTCATTCCACGGATGGCTGGGACTGAATGACAGAGTGACAACATCATATCCAAAGGCTCGCTGGGGGGGACCCGAACTCCTCTGAGGGTGGGGGGAGAGTAGTATCACCCCATTTGATAAGTGTCCCCGTGCGCCAGGCCGCGTGCTGGGTCCTTTCCTCAAGTTGCCTGGTTGTCATTGTCTGCTGAAAATGGCCACCCGATCTCAGAGGACTGACTTCTCTCCCTTTTTCCCTTCTAGGCTAATGGAGGTTGGCAGGATGCTACTACCCCTTCATCAGTGACCTCCCCTACAGAAGGCCCTGGCAGTGTTCACTCTGATACCTCCAACTGATCTCCCAGCAATCGCATCCCGGCTGACCCCGCGCCCCCGTTGGGGCAGGGGCAGGAGGGAGGGTTTCTCTCCCAACGCTGAAGCGGTCAGACTGGAGGTCGAAGCGATCAGCAAACACAATAAGAGTCTCCTTCTCTTCTCTTCTTTGGGATGCTATTTCAGCCAATCTGGACACTTCTTTATACTCTCTTCCCTTTTTTTTTTTTTTTTTTCTGGGTAGAAGCCACCCCTCCCTGCCTCCAGCTGTCAGCCTGGTTCCCGTCATCTTCCCTTTGCCTTTGTCCTAGACTCCCGGGCCCCCCCCCTGCCCTCTATGACATCACTGAAGGATATTTTCAACCATTAGAGGAATTTAAAGAGGAAAAAAAAAATGACGAAGAAAATAATAAACGTGTTTGTATGTTTTCATGCTGGTGGTTTGAGGAGCCAGATTTACCTCACTCGATCCCTCGCTCCCTCTGCTGACAGACAGCCCTTCTCTGCTTCTCTTGCTACTCTCACTACCTCTTAGCAGGAACACGCCACACTGCCCTGCTCTTTCCGGGCCCCCTGCCTCCTCTTCCTCTTCCTCCCTGGGGACAACACCGATTGGAACGCTTTCCTCTTCCTTCCCGGCCCCCGGTGCCCACTGGGGGCCGCCGTAGCTAGGCTTCCGAAGGCGCCACGTTCTCTGGCTTTCAGCTCCGCAGCGTTGGTTGATTCCCAGGCAGGAGGTCAGGCAGCCGGGAGGGCGCGGGCACAGCACGGGCAGGATCGCTCCAGGCTTTGTCATACCCCCCAGAACAGCGGCTCTCCGTGTCGGAAGCGCAGTCTTTGGACACCGTTCGACACTCAGTAAGCAACGTTTAGAACTCATCACAGAACCAGGCCTGAGGTAGGCATGGTGACGAATGCGTCACCAAGCACGAGGTTGTTCTCCCGAAACCCTTCGACTTTCCCCTCACACACACGCACGTGCATATCAGGCACACGCCCGGTCTGACCCCTTCACGCTCCCCAGATGCCATTTACAAATACTTGCGTTAGTAACCCAGGCATAGACCTTATGAGCCCAAGACAGGGAATTAGCGACTCTTGAGTGAAGGTCACCGTTGTGTCCGGGCTTCCGGGACCTGCAGGCCCGATAGCATGCGCTTACACTTAATGACATGCACAGGACCTGATCGTGACAAAGGCCAGGTTTGCCCGTGTCACCTCTTCTTGTTCCCACCACCTCTGTGTGCTCAGGCAGCCACGCACGGTACTTGCAATGTCTGTAAAGGACTCGGATCTGTTGCATTTGTGGTTTCATATTAGGCACATAGTCTTGATTACCCAAAGTGTCACACCGCACCCCCATGTTCTTGACCCTGACGTATTGCTCTGGAGGGGAGTTGTCCAAGAACGTGACTCGTGTGAACTTTTTGGTGGCTTAATCTGGAGACTTAAAAGGCATTGGGGAAAGGCGGGAAGGATGTTTACCTTGAAATCATCAGTGACTTTTATTCCTTGGGGACATCTAAGAGAGAGTACTAGAAAGCTATTCTGGAATGTCACCTGAGCTCACCATCTTCAGAGCCGGCCCTACCAGCAATAAAGATGGCAGCTCTGTCGGTTGATCAAGTGGCGGGGTGGTCAGCTCTCCTGATGCCTCATTTTCTTCATTTGTAAAATGGGGATTGTTATGCCTGCCTCACCAAGAGGCTTGTGAGAGACGGGAGAGAGTGATTTCATTCATAGCCAGTCTGCAAATGGGAAGTCAGGGAAAGTAACACCCCCGAGATAGACTGTGGTTCAAGCCATGTAGGGACAATAAATGTCCGTCCTGTTCTAACTTCTGGTTACCCTCGGTACTCTGATGCCATCACCATGATGACAAAGAGAAGAGTTATTGTTGGTTTTTCTTAGTTTTGCTGTGTTTGGTTTCTTAGGGTAGAGAAAAGCTCCCAATCTAGAAAAATAGGACCTGGTTCTCTTAGTTTGTACTTGAACCCAACACGTGGCCTTGCACGTACTTGGTTCCTGTCTCATCTCCTCTACTTGGGAGGCTTCCAGGGAGAAGTACAAGACCCTGAGGGGTGAGGATGGCTAGCTGACAAGGGCGTGGAAATTGTGCATAGCAGTGCAGTAGTGAATGGAAGACGCTCCTCTCTGTGTGCTCTCAGCGGCCCGGGACGCTACCTAAGAAACTCAAAGGCTATGTGTATTTGCAGGAAATGCAAAAAGTAAATATCTGGCAAAATGAGATTATGCCTTGATGACTAAGGCCGTGTCTACTAATCTGTGCCGTAATCAGAACAGAGCTAGATAAACAGGGTGCCTGGAAGGAGTGTCTTTGTGACTGCCCACATAGGACCATGGCTGGATCGCATCTCCTTGACTTGGGGCAAAGAATGAAAGAGATAACTAATCCGAAAGGGTTCTCTTGGCAACAAGAAGTCTGACTCCAGATTTGGCTTGAACGGTTGCCGTGTTAAGTGCATGCGAAAGCTCAAGAGCAGTGCTACGTTTGCACAGGCAGTTTCTCTGCAGGCAGCAGTTTGCACTGGCGCCCACTCTCACAGCATCTTCCCCACCCAGCACTTCAGTCCGTCCTCTCTGTACCCAATTCTTTCCCCACAGACTCCCCCCAGGCCCACTGCCACCTCCGGCGTGGCAGCCGTGGGGTCCCTCCGAGTTAAGCCAAGCACGAGAACACTGAGAGGGGCGGGACAGGTCTGGAAAGAGCATGCCTCTGGGAATTCAGACTAAGTCAGTCCCACAGATACCAGGATCCCTTCATTGTCTAATGGAAGTGGGAGTGCTCCGTTTTCCCCGAAAGCAAATTTCCCTGGAGAAGCGATAGCAGACCTTGGGTTTGCCCACCTTGTAACTCTTCATTATCTCCCCCTTTTCACCCCCAACTTCCCCCCCGTGATGTGGAATTGACTCCCACACAATCTTCTGCCACGTGGCGCCTTCTTTGCAGTTTCGTTTTTATTTTGCTGTGGTGGTCGTTCTTTATTTGCTGGTTGCCTTTTCTCACACATATCTTGTTTCCCCTCTTTGCTTCTGCTTTCTGTTTTTCTGCCCAGAAAAACCTGACTTCGATACCAAAAAAGATGAAACTACAGAAACTCAAATTTAAAAAAAAACTTTAAAAAAAACCCCAAAAAAATACTCAACGATTCTTTCAGCTTTATTAACATTTTCCATTGTTTCTTGCGACTTGTGTCTCGTTCTTTGTAGTATTGATGATGAACATTTGATAATGAATGTTCTTGTATATTCAGATAAAGGAGAAAAAAAAAAACCAAAAAAGCGGTCTGAATTTAATAGTGTTTATAATAAAAATTTTAAAAATGACCCTCATAGCACGCAAAACAGGATGGGGAGTTTCCCTCTTCTTTCTGTGACAATGAGCATCATTCCTGCATTAGTTTTTAACACCAAACTACCTACATTCATCATTTCCCCCATTTTTCTTTTATTTTCTTGCATTTGTGAATTAGTTCAAGAATGCTAGAAAAGTGTCGAGTTGTGCACATCCATTTCTTGTTTCACAATGTTTAAAAGTGACAGTAATTCATTTTGTAAACTTAAAAAAAAAAGGTTGGAATAGTGAGCATAATAGGTACAACCTAACACGTTGTTATGTTTATTAACTTTGAGACCCGGAAATAAATTCTTTTCTTTTCTTTATTCTTAATCTTAAAAATACAAAAAAAAAATTATGTTTTCTTTTGTGTTATTTTTGGTTTGTTTATTTGAGGGGGGGGGCTTTTTTAATTGTCAGGATTATTATCTTGCTGTTTTTCTTCCTTTAATATGTATATGAGGTGATGTGAAAAGATGACATTGATAGCGTAGGCTGTTTTCTTGTTCTGCTTTGCTTCCGAATTCAGTTGACCAGTTGACGTCAAAAGCGGAGGTAAAGCCCCTATTGTTTCATTGCTCACCTGCATTTCCAAAGTGTGTGGCACGCCTGAAGTCCCTGAGAAAAATAAAATCAGGGGCTTGCTTTTCCCTGCAGCCCTTTAAAATTTCAAGAAATGGGTCCAGGAGAACTTTTTATAGTATAGGGAAAGGTTTTTGCCTTTGTTCATTCTGAATGTCACTACTAAGTGCTTTCTTTTCTTTCTCCCTGGTTAATAACAACATTCCATGAGGCCTCTTCCAACTACAGAGGATTTTTCTTCCAGAAGAATTCCGTGGCAGATACTAGTATGATGGACACCAATGGCTAAGTAGACTAGATCCAGGAAGCAGTCCCTGAGGCTGGTCTGCCTGCTTATCCCTTGAGTCCTGATTTTGTATGAAGAGTTGGTGAGATACTGCGTTTTAATGCTGTAGTTTTAATGCTAAGAGGTTAAGTTTGCTTTACTGACAGTACACCTTTTATTAACCTCTGATTTAGGCAGCTGCTTAAAGCAAATCGCAAAACTGGCATGATTCGGAATGTTTTTATTAGTTAGAGAAAAAAAGAAAGCCATGTTATCTGGAAGAAACTTAATTTTAAACATCTCTCATCCAACAAATGAAGTTCAGAAAGCAGCCAGAACTTAAGGGAAAAAAAGTGAAGTAAGAATGCAGAATTATTGGAGCAATACTTTAGGAAATATTTCTATCCGGAAACTTGTGCTCTTGTGTTTAAGTCATAATAAAATAATGACGAGCTTTTCACATCACCTTTGTGGTTTCAATCCCTAAGCTCAAAGCCTTCTGGAATCTTTCATTTTTTTGTAAACTTTTTTTTTTCTTTTGTTAAAATAAATAAAACATTCAATGTTTTCCCCCCTTTTCTCTCATTACTTCTTTTCTTTCCTTTGGCATTTTCATTTTGAAATGCTTTCCTTTGGTTGTTGCTTTTATTCTCCCCCTCCCCCTCCCCTTTTCTTATTATTCAGAGTATAAACCTGCAAAGCTCTGCTCTGTTTTTGGTTTTGAAAGTTTAAGCTTTTCTGCTTCTGTGAGAGCACAGGCTTCTTCTGTCCCTTTTGATTCCAACTGAACTTTTGTGTTCTCTAATGATACTAACACGGTGTAGGTTTTACAGTCTCCTAATTTGTACTGGTAATGCATATTCCAAATAAATAGTTTCTTTTGTTGCAAAAAAAAAAAAGATACTTGTATTTTGTGCAAATTTCTTCTCTTATGCTCTGGCAACTTCTCTTTCCCCAAGCTAGTCCTGGATTAGTATTGATCATGGTTTAAACTGTTGCCCTAATTATTTAAAGATCTACATACCATGGCAGTGGGGCAAAGACCTCATGGGCCACCTTCCTCAGCCAGGAAATGGAAGGAAGGTAGGAAGGAAGGAAGGATCACTTGTGGGCAAACATTAGTTGACTATGGGGGGCAGAGATCCCCCTTCTTGCCTGCTTGTCTACGACTGGCAGCCATCAATCCACCAAGCACCAGTTCAAAGAAATACTAGGGAAATTTTCCATAATTATAAGTGTCCAAGTAATGGCTGTTTGCCCAGTGATTTTCCTTTCCTTCTCTTTGTCTGCTGTGATCTGGCCATAAGGAAAATTGTGGTTCCCAAGAGATGTTTCAGAAGAAGGAATCTAGTTTACAAATAATACTCAGGTGTAGACTTTCAGAAGTATGCTAGCTGTCACTACCGTGGATTTGCCCATCTACCATCTGTTAACGTCTACCATCCCAAATAAACATCTCTCCCAATAGTTTGTCTGCACTCACACTGAGTCCCTGACCTTTGGGGTTACAGTCTGCTACCGAGGTTGGTGTCTCAGTGTTCTGGCTGGAACACCAGCCGTCCACACCTACGCCTGGGCCACAGCCCTTCACACCACCTTTCCATCCATAGAATGATACGGAACTTTTGGTCTGGCATTTGACATCTTGTGCTAGTCTAGGGGCATCACATGCATTGTATTCTCCCTTTCATGTTGTAACTCTACTAAGTGGCTAGTATGTATTGAAAATTGAAACACCAGTCACTTTCCCATTCATCAATAGAAACTAGATTTTAAAAAATGGACAATCAATAGGGATCAAATATCATTTTTATTAGTGGGAAAGCTAAGTGCCTGCCCAGTGGTCTCAAAAATATGCAGCTATCTGCTAATGTTGAGTTGGTGAGCACCGCCAAAGGCCAAAACCAAGGACTTGTGTTCCCTCTTCAAATCTAAACATTGGGACACACTTAAAGGAGCCAGTGGGCTCAGACTCCTTCCTTTTTCAATTACATGGTGAACTGTGGACCTGACTTACCCCACCTGGTGTATTAATTAGAGTGGTACTAAACTGTTGTAATAAATAGACCAAAAATGTAAACTGTCTCAACTGAAGTACAAGTCTGCTTCTCACCTATGCCTTAGCCTAGGTGTTCCTGGTCAGAGTGCTTCCTCTCCACACAGTGATTCAGGGATCCAGTGCTTTCCCTTCTGTGGCTCAGCCATGCTTCAGGAATCTGTAGTCCTCCACATTTAGCCGACAGAAGGGAAAGAATATGAAGAAGGCTCCCTGACTTCTTGAAAGGCTTGACCAACTCTTCTCTTCCATTATTAATTCCTAAATGCAAGGGTTAGGGTTAGGGTGGGAGGTTGGAAATGTAGTCCCTGGCGAGCAGCCACTGCTTGGCCACAACTCTGCACAATAACTTTTTGGACAGCTGGCTATATCTGTCACACACAGTGACCAAAAGGATAAGTGAGAGCAAAGGACAAGCCCGCATGGCTGGTTCATTGACTAAAACACTCTCAGTAAAAGCATTTCCAGTCAATGTTTCACCCTTGGCTTTATTACTCTTCAGTAGGGAGGTCAAGGAAGGGGTACAACAAGGAGCATAGGTGCTCGATCCAATATAGCCCCCTCAAGGTAGAGGAAACTGAAGTCCCACCTCTATAGGAGTGTAAGAATGGGGAGAAGCACCCCCTTTTCCCCAGCATTTTCCATATTTTGTTTTCTAACTGAAGCCTCAGCACCAAGCCTGTGGTCACAAGGAGAAAACTGCAGTATATTACAGCAGCTTTGTTCCCACCTTCATGTCACACCCCCATGTTCACTGCTGGCTGGAGGGATCAAGTCTGGTGGTCAGCAGTCATCTGTGAGAGTGTGGGAGACTATAGGTCTAAAGCCTTAAAATCATAAAATCTGATATGCTCCTCTCAAACCATAGATTTCTACCTGGCTATCTCGATGGACGGCCACCATTTCTCCACTTTAAAAAAAGAAATGCAGAAAGATACCAATTTTGCTGACCACCATTTGGTATCCAGAATATAACCTCCCTTCTGGAAACATCCAGTGTGGAGGGTGGCACAAGTACCCAGTCTTATGAAATCATTTAATGGGTGAGTTCAAGGAGGTTGTTTTAATCCCAGAACCAGAGGGCCAGAGCTAGGAACGATACCAGCTTTGAAAACCTCCCTCTCATTCCTGGCATAAGAGCTACTGCAGAGTACAAATCAAGAAATCAGAGAGTTTACTGACCACTGAGGCCAGTGAGATACATTCTATGGCGTCCAGCCTTGGGCAGACTGCCAAGGCCACCCTGGACATTGCAGGGGTGGGGAAGAGGTGTTGAAAAGGGTTATGGCTGTGGCAGTGGCACATGCTTTGGAGAACCATTGTCCTTATACATGCTCCCGGGACCCATGCGAGAGATGGTGCAGTGCTCGTTCCCGGATGCCTCTGGGTAGACCAGAAGGATCTACTCATTCGCGTCCAGGCTATGCTATCCCCAGGGTTAGAATTTATTCCTTTGCCGGATACCCATCCCCGATTTCTAGTGTAGCTCGCCAGAGTATATTATCCACATGCACTTCTTTTTTTGAATTATTTTTTTAAATTTGTTTTTGATTATTATGGGTATATAACAGTTGTATATATATGTATAGGGTACCTGGGATGTTTTGACAAAGGTGCCAAGTCATATAGTACATTTGAATACAACTGTCATTGTTCAGTACCCAGGGAGGAATTACAGTTCAAAATAAAATCCTTCTCCTTTGTAAATTAAAATTCAAAGAGATGTTAGTCTACATCTCTACCCTCCCTGCTTTCCTCCTGCCATGCTCAGTCTCAGCCAGTCTGCTCTCATGCCATACTCAGAAGTAGAGTTTAGGGCCTTCCTTCTGCAGTGGAAGCAGGGGCCTCTACCACCAAAATGGGGATAAACCATTCTGGTTTCTCCAAAGTGCAATTAATCCAAACTCGAATCTCTCTAGTGCCCTACTTCTTCTAGAAAGTCACTTAGTAAGCCTGCGAACAATTCAGGCTGGCCCACAGAATTTAGAAAACACAAGCTAAGTCCAGACTTCCATAGCAAAATTAAGTTTCCAGAACCCACATAACTACTGCTAAGGAAGGACCACAGCAGAGATTTGATAATGTGGTGAGGAAACAGGAAAAAGACAGAGAGCATGTAAAAAAGTAAGAGTAAAATCTTTATTTTCAATCTTTACAATGCCAGTTGAGCGGTACCAAATGTAATGCTGAAAAAAAAGAGCCACCACCAAGAGGTTAATTTTGCACTCTGCTTCCTATATCCTGGGGGAAACAATCCAATCTCTGCATTCTGCCTCCTCTGTCTGAGAATGACCTTTGAAATATTCATGTCTTTGTGAAAAATTCAAAAATGTAAAATGGGTCCTCTCCAGTCCACAGGCTTACTCGAGGCTCCCTTCTTCCCCTTGGTATTCGCATACATATTTAAGTTTTGTGGATGTCCATCTCCCTTTAAACCCTGCATTCCTAATCCCTGTACCCCGGTGATCTGACATTCCCTTCTCTGGACTCTCTCCAGCTCCTGACCCGCTCTGGGCTTTTCCTTTGTCTCCAATCCTGAGTGCAGGCTGTGGTTCACCATGCACAGGGCAGGGCTGCTCCCCGCTAGACCCCCGCTCCCCCAAGCCTCCCCCGCCCTCGGCCTCAAGCCGCTGCTGGCTCTGCTTCAGTCTCAGCAGAAGCATTCCTTTCTGCCACCTCTTTGAGGTTTGCCCCTGATGTTTCTCTCCTATTGTTCCCCAACTCCTTTTAAGCAGAGCCAGCAACGTTTAAAATTTTCTAAGCTGCTCCTTTCCCTAGTCACATCTTTCTGTCTCCTGTTGAGCTCACTCTCTGCTGGTGGGTCCAGGCATTTGTTTTCCTAACATACTTTTCTAAATTATATTTTGAAATCTTTTCCCCAAACTTCTATACCGGTCCAAAGCTTCCACTCGCTCAGCTTTAACCATTCGTACCAGCGTCGACTTAGTCGATAGCCACAGATGAAGTGCACAGCGACTTTAGCCAACAGCCGTGATATGACTTTTCTAATTTTTCATTATCAAAATAAATTGTGGACATTTAAAAATAACATAATGAAAACACATATGTATATGTTACCTATTCTGATTTCATTACAAGTAAAGTTGCCTGTAAAGTAAAACAAGCTTTCAGGGCTTTCAAGCTTTCCTGGTCACACAAGAGCAAAACGGATTTTGTCATCAATGCACAGCACAAACTATCAGTGGACCTGTGAGTGCCGGCTGTGGGCAGGGATTCGTGCCGTGGAGCGCCGTACAAGTGGTTAACTCCTCGAGTTGAGTAAGGTTCACAGAAGGTGTCTTCCTGTCACACCACACCAGGCTCAGCTGACTGTTGTGCCCTAAAGGGGTCCCCCGTCATGACCCCCTCCTTCTGGACCCTAAGCGCCATCTCCTGGGCGGCACCTTCAGAGCACATGGCATGTCTGTTCTCCCCCGCCACACAGTAACTGCTATGTTAGAATTCACCAACAATCCTCAAAGGATTTCACCCTGACCTTCTTGATTTCCCCCCCTCAAATGTGTCCAGTGTTTTGTGTTATTACCGCATGAAGCCTTCTGAGCCATCCATGAGAATATTTGCAATCGCTTTCACCACTGGCTACCTGTCTGCTGCTTTGGGTGCTTTCTGGATCCTTTGATGTAAGGAATGCATTGGTTTGTTCACTGACATCTTAAAAACCAGACCCCACAGATTTGAATCCCAGCTCTACGACTGTGCTACTACTCTCTAGTACTGCCCGGTTCTCCCCGACATCAACCAGTTCTCCAACACCAGCTAGGTGTCCTACTATCCCATTCATAGGTTGAGGTCTGGAAGGGTCCTGAGCACAGGACCCTCTGT